AAAAGTAATGTTAAAGATGTTAAGACTTTAATGAATATTAATATTAATGATAGAATTGAATTGGAATGGAATGTTGTTTTAATTATATACATTTATAATTTTTTTTAAAGAATACAGTGTGTATTTTAAGAATGTACCAAGCAGAATCCGAATGGAAGTTATGTATTATATTGAATGTTACAACTTTAGGGAAAAGATATAAAGGCGTCATACTCCAATCAGTAACTACAGGAGAAATTTTGTTTAATGAGAAAAGATAATAGATAATTGAAACAGGACAGACAAAAAATATAAATACAATGATTTGAATTGAAATGAGATAATTAAAATAAAATTGAGAAAATTAAAAGAGGGGAGAAGCTATGCAGAAAATGTAAAATAGTAATAAGATATGGAATAGAATATAAAAATGAGCATGAACCTGAATTTGTGTCTGTACGAAGAAATGTAACCCGGGATTATGCTACTTTCAAAAAAGATGTTTTATTTGTATTATTTTTCTCTTTGTGAAAACTCAAGTAAAATTTACAAAAAAAAAAAAAAAGACAAGTGATTTACAGAAATGTTAAAATAATAGTATCTTAACTGCAGTGTAATGTAACGATTAAGGCATCAGACTAGAAATCTGCAGACCATGTATTCTAGTTCCGCCTGAGGGACAAAGTCAGTTGGGTGTCATTGGGCCAATCATTTTCTCTCAGCCCTAGGTAGAAAGCAATGGCAGACTACTTCCAAAATCTTGCTGAGAAAACTGCAGGAACTTGTCCAGGCACACTCTAGGATTCAACAATGACTCAAAGGAACCAAAACCAACCCCCACCATCCAAGATTGGTGGAAATGAAAAAAAATCCAAAACAAAAACCCAACCTACTGTTATTGTTCCAATGTGGTTACTTTCCAAGTGGAAAAAGGCAAATAGTAGTATAAAAGGAAAAGTGATTTCAAGCCATCAGAATCATAATAAAGAAAAATTCTTCCCTTCACCTCTATGTTGGCTTAGCTTCTTACTCAAATTGCTTAAGGTTACAGGAATAATGAAATAAGGGAGGAAAATCTCACTTAAAGTATTCCCACTTCTTGAAAAGTTGCTGCTCAGTATAGTGATGAGAACCTGTGTGTCCATCCCGATAGGCAGCAATGGAAAATTTACTTAGCTTTTAAAATATCAGAGGTACAACATACTAAATGAATGACTTGTCTGGGCATTGTTGTTACCCTGTTTCTCCAACAATACGGCCTCCCCCAATAGGAAGTCCCAGCATGTTTTATAGGCATGAAATGAAATTAAGCCCCTCCTCTCAAATTAAGGCCTATATTAAAATATGCAAAATGGGGGGAATGGTGGGGGGGCTTGCCGTTAGGAAGTACTTTGGTTGCACACCCAGATATGGTGCTGCCTGCATTGACCACGATACGAAGTGCCCCACCAATGCCGAGGTCAACATCCAAGCTGTCGCCGCCTGTCCGAAGATGCAAGAGGGGGGGGAATTAAGTCACCCCCGAAAAGACGGCCTAGCCATTTTTTTGGGGCTCACAAAAAAATAAGACCCGGCCTTATTATATGAGAAACACGGTATTTACTTATTATGTTGTACCTCTGATATTTTAATGCTTCATTATGAGATATTTAATGACATATTTTTTATGTTTTGTAGAATGTGCAATGCTTTGACAGTTTCATTTGTTAAATGGGCAATGTAACAATATGCTTTTTACATTTTATTATTTCCATATTACTATTATTGGGTACATATACTTACCTGATGATCGCCCATTCCCAAGAGGTAAGAATTCTCATCTGCCATTCTGAGAGCTGAAACAATTAACCATGTATGAAAAAGTTAGTGCATAGTTAAGCAAGTTAGCAAGTGGCTTTTAGTAATTTTATTACTCAAATTATTGGCAGTTAGGAGGGAACAAAATTCAGAGAAAAAAATCCATGTATATAAATTTATCAGGTACTGCAGGATCTACAAAATCTATAAAGTCTCTGCTCATTTTTTTTTTTGAAAGATGACAGGTATATCCCCCACAACAAAAACAACCATCAGCAAAACACAGACATTTGGAGTATACCAGAATATATTTCCCCTCCCAAAATGAGTTCATCTAACATCCTGTTATCTTTAGAATCTTCAAAACCTTCTTGAAGGCTAACATGGTCAGGACCAGTGAAATTATGGGAGCTGGAAGATATTATTCTACAGGCTCCTCAACAGAAAAGACACAAGGGAAATATTTCAGAACTGTTTTCCGCAACCAAGGGGAAATTAAGATGCCATCTACACAAAGCCTGTTAGGTTTATGCTAAAATAAACTCTCTAACTGTTTTAGTTTTCTTTACAGAATGTGTTTATGATGAAGGGACTTCAAAAGATAATCAATGGATGCAGGGTTGCTCATAAACAGCGCTGTAGGATGACTGGAGTTGAGCAATAGTCATTCCGGTTCGGAACAAATGCATTTCACCAGTACAACATCAGAAATAGTTCTAGTCACAGCATGCCAAGGCACAATTTCTAAAAATGTGTTTCTGTGTAAGTCTTCACTAGAAGGAGTTGAGACATAGCAGAGTAATGCTCTTGCATAAACTCCAAGGATGTCAAGCAGGGCAACATATTACAAGAAAGGTTTTACTCATGGGATTTCCATATAAGTGCTCCAAGTCTCTAACTAATAGGTATGATTATATGAATCTGATGTAATTTTGGATGATTTAAGAATGAGCAATGTATGAATGCAAATTAAGTCAATTAGAAAAAAGATAATCAAAAAAGCAGAAGTAATCTGAAACCTGGATTATATCCTACAAGCACCAATGCACAAGGTTCTAAGTTCTAAAATGCACTTAACAAATACAGCAGCATTCTATTGGTTAAGATACAACCAATTTTAAATGTCATATTAATAATTTGTCTTTTAGAAAAAGTATTAGAAAACAGTGTAATTTAGCTAACCAGCTCTTTGAAGAATAACAAAAGAAATTAAGTATATTACAAATTTTGCCTTCTTAGAAGAATTACTGAGAATATAAGGTTAAGATATTAATTTATTATATTTGTATCTAATACAAACAAGATATTAGTAAACAAAAACATAAGGTATTTTTATATTCATTCTACTTTTTGATCCTAAATTTACTTTTAGATTACACCCAGAGTCTTAGAAGGGACAGAATAGAATGAGAGAATAAAGCACTGTAGATTTCAATGGCTAGATTCATATATCACACTAAGCTATCATGAGGTTTAATCTTTGGCTTATTTTATGTACAGGCAGTGTGGAAAATAACATTATGTTACCTGCATTAAGAAACAATACTTCTCACTTGCACTTTATTTTTATTGTTATAATAACAATAAATTTGATTATATGTTTGGTACAATCCATAAAACTTGGAAATAGCGGAAGTGAAAATAATTTATTTTTCCTTTTTTCATGTGGCCAGATCATCATCATCATCATCATCATCATCATCATCATCTAAATATATACACTGTCTAATTCCCAACTATCCTAATTTCCAACACTCCTAACAGTTCACTACCCTTCCTGGATAGCCTCATCAGAGGAAGCAACAACAGCAAATTAGAAACACAAGTCTATGTTAAAACCACCCACACTAATCAAGATTTCCATTACCAAAGTAATAACCCAACTTCCCACAAGACAAGCAGTGTAAGAACGCCATTTAGATGAGCAGAAGCACACTGCAGCAACCCCTGAATGTAAGAAAAAGGAAACAGGTCGTCTATATATTCTCCAACAAAACAGATACTCACATAACTTTATCAAAAAGTGCCTGACCACTCAACCCACTATAGCACAACCAACATAAGCAGTGAAAAGGATAATAACTCTCTCAGAAACCATCAACTGATTACTCTCATATGACATTGCTGTAGAACACAAACCAACAAAAGCCCTCTAAAAAAAATTAAGTCAACCAAGAGACACAGTAATCCCAGAAGAAAAAAACAGGAGTAATCTACAACATATAATATTAAGGACAGTAACAGCCACCATGTAGGACAAACAGGCAGAAACAGTAGTGTATTAACCATTAAGCAGGCTAAGCACGTGCTTAGGGCACCAGGTCAAAAGGGGGTACCACAAAGTTGAGAATATGGCTTTGTTTGTACAGTATGTACAAAGGAGGGGTACACCAAGATTTGTCAGTGCTTAGGTCACCAGTGAGTCTTAATCTGCCACTGGTCAGAAGACTAGCAGATTGCATCAATGAACCAACAAGCAGTCAAACACATGATGAAAACTTCTTAATTGCACAACACCTGGATAGACTTTACCATAGTTGCAACTGGGAAACTGTGAGACCAAGCCAAATCCAAAAATGCTATAGAATTCATGGAAGGCTGGCACTCAGACAAATCAGCCAATAACAGGAACCTAGAGATAAACAACACCTACATATTAAACAAAAGAGACAATCAAAAAGCTAGAAGACCACAATGCCTTCTTGTCAGCAATCAACATCCAGATAAGCAAAGATTACAGTCAAGTTTAATATCAGACCAACAATCAAACAGTAAACAATACCCCAATCAAGGAACTACCAACTCAAACACAAAATAACAGCCTAATCAAAGAACCATCAAGAACACTCCCATCAACAGTAACAGCCAAGACACTTGTATATAAACAGACAGCAAACTGCATTCCTTTCTAGTACCGATGATGTTATCTGGCTGAGTAATGAAACATCGGCAAAAAACAACCAATTCAGACAGCACAACGGACCTCAAAATCCCAATTTTGTTATGTCTGTTTCAAGTAACCCTGAGAAAACCTGAAGATGGACCCAACTTCAAAGCACAATATAGCAATAAATGAAAATCAAATAGAAATAATGTTTGGGGAATAGAAAATTTAAAAAATCATAACATATAGGGCCCTCACAAAACCCAATGGGTAGGACCTACTGGAAAAGCCAGTTCTTGATAGCCTTCCTGAAGAACAGTGGGGCTGAAACCATGTGGACCTTGTGGGCAAGAATGGCAATAAAGGAGGCATGTTTCAGGTCTCTCACAAAATTACATTCTGTGAGTGTGGGGGATGTGAAACATGCCAACCCTGATGGATTGTGTGGGAGGGGGCAGAGACAATTGGAAAGAGGTTGGAAATAAACAGGCTGTAAGATGAATAGGGCTTTAAAAGATAACCATCAACACCTTGCATTGTACTTGAAAGCCAAATGGTAACTAGTATATGTTGTGTAATATGATCTTACCAATCACAACCATACAACCATAACTACTCAAGTCAGTTGTAGCTTCCAAGAAGTCTACAGAGCACATTGCTGCAATCCAAATGAGATATCAGAGATGAGTAATACATGAATGACTATGAGAAAAACTTCCTGGTGCAGGAAAGGATGCAGTTGGTACTCAAGATAAAGGCCTTTGGTAAGGCCTTCCTAGTCAAAGCAGGGGCCAGAGACTAGGAAGACCCATAAAGGAGCATAAGTTCCAACTGGCGAAATGCTACCCAATCCAGAGTCCTTGCATTTTGGTGAGTAGATGTTTGTAGAAGCATGGGCAATTGGTTTCTTGTTTGTCAAAGAGACATGTTCTGTTCTATAAGGTTTGTTGTCTTCCTCTTGGAGAAGTCTTGATGCAGTGGAAATTCCAGAGTAGAGATGACACTGGGATTTAATTTTTGCTCTCTTCAAATAATTTCTTGGAGTCATTATGGCATGATCTTGGATGTAGTCTGTAGAAGTTTTTTACTGAATCCTTTACGAATGATGTCATGTTGTTTGCATTTGGTTAGAAAAACCATTTTGTTATGTGAGCTGCAGTTAAAAACTTAAAAATCTGTTCCTCAAAAAAAGATGATAGTGGGTTCCATCTAATTTTTTTATCACTTTGAATAAAACTGTTTTGAGTTTTATATTCCAGAACCAGGTTTAAAATTGTTCTCAGAAAAATTACTGTGGGGAAGCAATTACCATGAAACAAAGGTAATGTAAAGCAAAGCTAAAATGGTATTCCCCAATTTGTTACAGAACCTTCATTCTTGAAGAGTTCCTGCCAGCAGATGAGAATGAGAGTATATTTTTTGATATGTCTAGCTTAAATTGGGCAAAAACAATATTTTTGCCAGGTTTCCCACTAGAGCTCAAAACCATATTCAAGAATATGATAAATATATAAATGCAGGTCTTCTTTTTCAAGAGGAACGATATCCTACATAGAGCAAGACATATTCCTACTTATAATGGGATTCCTACTTACACGAGAAAGACTTTGCGAGACGGGACAAAGAGCTGCTGCCTAGGGAAGGGTCAGATAAGAGACAGCATAGTCTGCAGCTGCATAATGGACATAGCAAGAGGCTCAGAAGGGACCCAGATTAATGTCAGCCTGACCAGATAGAACAGACAGAACACATAACCAGATAAACTAATTCTATTTTACTGTAAAGCTACTTTTGAAAGTCTGAAAGTAAAATTCTCCCGCCATCCCCTTCTCAGTCCAAGAACTTAAGGAAGAGCCCTTCTGAGACATTTGCCCCACCCATCATACAGCTACAGGCTATGCTTTCTCTTACCTGACCCTTCCACAGGCAGCATCTCTTCTCTTTGTCTCCCAGGGTCAGTCCCACTTACACTACTCATTTAGTTTTCCTAATCACCTACAGTATCTTATCTTAACTATGTACAATTTCCTTTTATGAGCTCACATCCAATAATTACTATGTTAGACCATTAAAAAACCCTTCAGATACAAAGGAGAGACTTTGAAGTAGCAGGATAAGAAGAGAATCAACACTTTTGAATCTGGGTTTTGGAGC